ACATGCATGAATGAGTCAAAGCAAGGCTTTGGGCATGTTTTTTATGAGAGTATAACATTATAACATGATATAAAACTCAAAAAGTTGATTTTACAGGATATTTCCCCTTTAAAATAAACCTGGATGCCTAAAGGGAGCTTTTTGACAAAAAGTAACTTAAATACCTTTTTTGATAAAAGCAAAGGATCCTTTTAGCTCTGTTCTTTTCCTGTATCCTGTCCAAAATCAAAGATGCAAGGTTGGTCAGTTGCTGAACAATCTGTCTAATCCGAGATTGAGACTAAACTGGATCACTTTCGTCTTAAAACAATGCCCAGCTCAAACATGTTGTAAAACTTTACACCACAGTTGCTTTTTTACTACACCAGTGTGGGTGTAATTCTTTAAACATTAACAGATTAAAAGATAAATTAAAAAAAAATTATTGTTATCTTAAAAATATTGATGCTGATGAATTATTAAAATCCACGTTACAGGTTTGAATGATTATTGGCTGATGACATGGAGCTGTGTTTAGCCTCTTATTTCTGTAATAAACAACAGCTAAACCTTAAAAAAAACAAAGATCAGACTGAAATCAGACTTTAAAGATGTCATTGCTTTAAAGGATTAAGGAAGTCTTTAATGTAGAGCACTTTGTTCAGTAAGTGTTGACTGAAGGCTAATGCAGAGGGTGTTTGTATCACAGATGAGGGATTACCCTTTATCTCCAGAACCGGAAAGACAAGTGACATGACTAAAATAAAAGGATGGAGAAACAAGTTCTCAACTATCCAAGAAACACCTGCTTCTAATTGTGACGGTAAGAGTTGTTGGTTTTCTTGTAGCTTCAGGTAGCTTAATACCAGATTCAGATATATTTTTGTGTTTGTTATTCTTCTAAAATAAACTAAAGGTTCTGGGTTTTTTTTCCCTCAAAGTACCACCAAAGAACCTGTCTGCCTTCTGCAGCAACATGTTGGACGAGTACTTGGAAAGTGAAGCTCAGCAAATCAGCGATCGAGCTGCTGCTTTCTCCACAAACCCTGAGAGCTCAGTGACCTACCAGCTGCCGGCCAAAAGCTCCAGCTACGTGAAGACCCTGGACAGTGTACTCAGGCATCAAAACGCTGCATCCCGGGTCCCAGAGGCCCCCAACAGACCATGCCCCCTGTCTCGCAAACCCCCACCTTACATGTCTCTGAGGTCACAGGTGTCCCCTCTGACCAGCCCTGAACCCCAACGTCCTGCTGACCCTCAGCCCACATCCTCATCCACACACCCGGACTCTTCCTCTGGAAATGGTTTTATTTCACGAAGGTATGAGTTTGGTTCTGGGTTGTCTTGTTAATCCCAAACATTTAGTATTTTTTTCTGTTTTGGCTGTAATTTTTGGGGACTGCAGCTCGTCACCAAAACTCAGATCTTCAGAAGCACGAGATAAGAATAAAGTTGTAGTCGAATCTCTCAGACTCTCATGTCTGGAAGGTCACAAATGCATTAATCTGCTTTAGTTGAGCTTTATTGTCATAAATATTTAGTTTTTCTCTTCTACCAGTACTTCAAGTTATAGTTGTAGATGAGGTCTTTGAATGACCGCAGTTTGGAGAAATATATTTATGATGAACAGAACTACACAAAAGAGTTTGTTTTGAAATAACTCCTGTTTCAAAAACATTAATAAACTATCATTACTTGTTTCCTGTTTTTGTTCAATATATCATGTTTAGACACCAACTTTCTGTCTTTAAGGTTTGTTTGTTTTTCTACATGAAGTCAAACATGGTTTTATATTTTAGGATTCTTGTCTTTCTTTTGGCTTCAGGTTATTGACAATCGAAGCAGCAGTGTGTAAGACTCCTCCTCCTCCCGAGATGCTGGGTCAGAACCAAGCACAAAAAGCTATCTCCAGCCAGGACCAGCTGTTTGAGGAGAGGGCAACCTTGAACCAAGCCCTGAGCAGAACACGCCTGACTCCAGAAAGAGTAACGATGGCTCTGTCAGCACTGACTCAGCAGGTGTGTGTTTACTCTAGTAAAGAACGTTTCCCCCAGTTTTCTGTACTAAAAGTAATACAGTCTGTCCTCCCTTTAAACCAGACACGGCCCCATCAGATCGCAAACCCGCCTCCGGTTCCTCATACCGATGAGGAACCTAAATGTGGCCGTGAGTTCTGCAGATTGGGTTGTTTGTGTTCCAGTCTGCAGCGTCAGGAACAAGAAACCACCCACTGCGGACAGCCTGAGTGCATGTTTGACTGTACCTGCTCCAACAGTAAGATCACCTGTCAGTTTTACAGATATATAGGGCTGCATTTAGGTTTGGTAGTGGCTAAAAATCATTCCCAACTCACACTCTGAGCGCTTTTCAGTTGTGCTGAAAATCGCGTAGAATCAAAGAATTCTGAATTTTGGGATGAACGGTGAAGGTTAAATTCTTGGCCTGTTTATTATTAAACTATTTGTAACTTTATTATAAAGGCCAGTATCATAACATGCTTTCACTTAAGTATAATTTATTTCTTACCTTGACTACATAGTTTTCTACAACAACAGAAATGAGGCATTTTAGTTTTATTTAGCTATTTTTATTTATTTCGGCTTTTGTTTTATTTTATTGTTTATTTTCTTGATTGTTAACACAAGGCCTTTCCCCTCCTCAGCTGTGACTAATATGGAGCAGTCGGCTCAATCTCGCCCAAGTTTCAATACTGAACTGTGGAAGGGTGACACCTTGAAAAGTGATTCGGATGCACTTAATGTTCCTAAAGGTTCTGAATCTTTGGTCCCAGCAAAGGTCCAGAAACGCAGCGAACCTCACCCAGTGCCTGTGGTAAAATAACATTTATTTAGAATTTTATGTATATAAAAGTCATTCCTTTTTATAACGTTGTTGTTCTAAAAATCTGTTTGTTTTTCCTGTAATGACAACCTAATTCCAGATACGTGAAGAGGATAAGGATTTTGTGTATAAGTATTTGGAGAGCAAGTTGACCTGTGCACGTGTTCGAGCGTTCGACAGCGAGCCTCCTCCTGTGGTCACCTTAAACATTGAGACTGTGTTTAAACCAAAGGTTGCCAAAACCCCTCTAAACTTCACTCAAACCTTGTCTAAAAAGGACTACAAGCCTCTTGTGACGAGTCAAAAATCAGGTAAAGAAATAACTCCACCTTATCTGTGCTGTAACAGTTTTACTCTTGTTTTAGAGCAGTGTGTTCCACATTATATAAAATTATATTTAAAGACACATTTGTCATTTTACACATCCATCCATGTGGTGGGGGAGCCTTAAAAGGGAGCCCTGACTAGTTGTAACATTAGACTTTATTTGTTAAACATTTACTTCAACTAAATGGAAGTTTTCACGTCACAAACAACTTTTTACATGTGCAAGTAATCGTTGATCCTTTTAAGATATTCATTGCTGTGCATCTCCGTTGTTCCTCAGAAGAAAAGCCATCTCAGGAAAAAGAATCAAAGAAGCAGATCCACATCCACTCACTCTGTCAGTGGAAGAAGGACCGTAAAAAGGTTCTGGAAGGTCTGTACGAACGCTTGAATCAGAATCGGCTTCACCAGCGTTTCTTCGTCGGACCTTACTGCATCAGGCCGGTCTCTAAAGTCACCCTGCGGAAACCCAGTGGCTCAGTCGTCACCTACAGGGTGTGTTTACGTTACTCTCCAAATATGTCTGACATTAATTATAGTGTGTACATTTCTTTCAAGCTGACAGGTCTGATTGCTGTTTTCCACCCGTTCTTAGATCCAGATCAAAAAACCAAACCATGTCAGTGACTATGAAGAGGAATCTGATGATTATGATGTCTATGACAGTGATGAGAATGCTAATTCAGAGGAGGAAGATGAGCTGGTTGAGGATCCAGAGATGTGGTATGGGGTCGCTCCCTTCCTGAGGGGTGTGGTACCGGCTGGCTGTCTGAGCGCCAAGAAAAGATCCATCGGCTACAAAGCTACTGGACTTATAGAGGTATTTATAAAAGAACTGCCACAGTGTGAAAAAATGGTTTATAAGTTGAGGTTTTTTTTTTTCTCAGAAAACTACATCTACAAGAAAACTAGGACACAACTATGCACAAGAGTTGAAATCTGAGTTTTTTGTTTAGAGCTTAAAGCTTAGTTAAGATTTATTTAAAATACTGAACACTTAGGATTACTATTCTAATTTATCATATTACATTAGAAATTTTAAGTGATAGACAGGTTGTGCTGCTTGGTTTCTTGTGCTGGGAGGTACATTTATTTGTGCAGTACTGTATTGGAGTTGATGCCACATAAGGACACAAATGTAGAAGTGAGTGTGTTGGTCTTCCTGTTTCTGGTAAGTTGTGTGAACAGACCTTAAAAAGAATGAAAGCTGTGGGATTTCTTTGTAGTGTTTTTTTTTCCACCATTCTCTTTACCTGTTAAATAATTTAAAAATGTTTTGGTATTCCTGCTGCCGCTAAAACGCACTTGTAACTCCTTCAGGGTTCTGACAGGTGTCTTGGTGGTCTTTCACTTATATTATCTTCTTGCACGGTTACTCAAGGCTCCATCCAAAGCTGAACAGTTGATGTGCAGTCACGTTGTTGCTCGACATGTTTTCACACAGCTTTCACAGCCCATGAGACACACGATGCAGAGCTGGAAAACCCTTCATGCTGTTGTACATGGCACAGCGCAGGGTTTCTTTGTCAAGCTGTCTTGACAAAGTTGCACACTGTTCAGCATCGTTGTTCCTCCATGTACAATGCGCTCTCTCCATCTGTGAGTTTTTTTGTCCTTTGACTGTCTTTAAAAGTAGATAGGTGGAGGTACCGGTACTTTCTGACTGTCGCTGAAAGCTGCTCCTCAAAACTATCCATGCTGGTTGGATGCACAACACAACTTCTGGAAGTGGAGCAGTTGAAGCAAAATGCTGCCATTGTTGTCAGAGCACTTTTCCACATAAAAACACCCCCATGAACTTCTGACCAATCACACTTTTGCATGGTGAGGGGGCCAAAAAGTTAGCCCGGGGGGCTTGTGCCAAGAATGTTTGGACGACACAAGGCTGAGAACAAAATAATATGACAATGTAATTTTCGTCACACAACCACATCAGTGAAAGGGGATTTTGCAGGTTCAGATGGACCATGGTCTCATATTCCTTCCATGTCTTAATGATGGATTTACCAGAACTGGAGATGTTAAGAGCTTTGGAAATTATTTGTATTCGACCTCTGACTTGTACTCTTTCAACAATCCTTTTTTCCTAGTTAAATTGAGACAGTTACTTTAAAGTGAGTTAATCTTTACGCAGTCATTTAATCAGTCCATCCATCATCTTCCACTTGTTCTTTATCCTAAATGTCTTGTTAGATTCTGTTCTTAATAAAAGTTGGTTACTTTGAAACTGACCTGTTTAACTTAAGAATTCTACCTCCAGCTGTGCTAAAGAAAATGCTTTTTTGTTTTTATAAATGCTTATGGATTTCTTTAACTTCACTCTATATTGCTTTATTTTTAGGTAAATGGGAAACATTACAATTATGCCAGACTGGCACTTGGAAACATGGGATCTCTGCATCCAGCTAACCGCCTCGCAGCCTTCGTCACAGGCCGACTAGCCGATCCAAAAGCACCTCCTAAAACGGTCCCTCTGCATCAAAGCTCTGTGATTAAATCCGTCGCTGCAGGATCAGTTCCTAACACCTCTGCCTGCAAAATGGTTCTTCCAGGTGCCGTTGAAAAGGCTCGGACAACAAATTTACATCCTGCAGGTAAAATGGTCTCTGTTGTCTCAACACCAACTCTTTGTTATAAACTTCCTAAATAAGAAAGCATGAATCGATAAAGAAACTCACAGATTATTATCATCTAAAGGCCCTGTTACACCATAATGTTTTAAACAACTTGTGAAATATATCATATGCTCAACTCATTACCATGACAGGATGTGTCCATCCAAAAGAGGCTTTCAGTAGTTATTTTGTTCTATCTTCAGCAAAGACACTTTTAGTGTCCATTATTTTTGTCTCATCTCTTACTGTTTTTCTCTCTTTTAATTTTTTTTTAGTTGAGCTCTTAAAATCTCTCAATAAAGGGTCAGTTGCCATGCATCAGCCTTCACCAAACTCCCCGGCAATCTACCCAGTCCAGTTATTAATCCCAATCCAGCCTCTGCCTCAGCCTCAGAACAGCTCCACGTCTTTGTCCGGCTCGCTCACCGTCTCGCCGTCACTGAAGAACCCTGCCTTCCTGGCTCAGAGTGGGACGTATACATTCAGAATCTGCCCTCCGTCCAACCAGGCTGCCGGAGGCCAGAATCCACCTGGAGTTGTCCTGCCTGGAGGTTTCACTCTCATCGAACTCCCAAAACCCGGACCCGACGGAGCCCCACAAGAAGTCAAACCTCCTCCTCCTCCTCCTCAGACAACAGAAACAGGCAGCACAGCTCAGGATAAAGACGCCGCCTCTAATCTGAGCACCATGGCAAAACAGTTCGTTGGTTTTGAAACTCTTAGTAAAGTTAAAGACCTGCTGCGCAGGAGGTTGGCCCAGTCCACTTCATCTCCAGGTCCGGTTTCTGATGAGAAGGTACAGTCTGTGGAAAACAGTGAGGCTGAAAACAGGCCGACATCGTCACAGGAGTCAAACTTTGATTTCTCCTCAGAAGAATTCAGCTCTGACTTTTCAGATGAAGAAGAGTTTGATGATGTAAGCTTTCTGATAATATTTATAAAGTTAGTTTAAATCTACATACTGTATGTAAACTGTATTTGTTGTTATAATTTGTTCACAATGCATGTTTTTTTTTTAGGATGGGTCCGTGGACATTGAAACTGTAGAAGAAGGAAAACAGGTAGAGGTCATTGCTAAAATGAAGGAAGATGCTTTAAAGAACAATCTAAGGTAATGTGTTCATATTGTACCTGCTGTTAATAGTTCAGATGAGATTGTCTGGAGAGCACATTTTTTGTGTGGATAAAAATTAGAAACGTGCTGATTCTGAATTTTTGGCCAGTATACAGTAGATTTCTGGTTTTTGAAAAGCTCCGACCTGCTGATACCAATTTCCTTTCAATGAACTAACTAATACAAAGTCATATGTATTCAAGATTATCTGCTGTCTTAAAACGAATACATCCTCAAAGATACCTTCTACACTGATGACATGCACTGTTGCCAAGTAAAAAGTAGCTATTTGCTGTTCTAAACATTTTTAGATTACTTTATTGAATTTGCATATTGGCTCATTTTAATGCAATCACGATCTAGGCTGTATGAAATAAATATCTATGATGGAGAGACAAAAGTGAGTGAAAAACTCTGTTTGGAACTACAATTGAACTTAAGAAAATTATGACTTTGAGTTGTCTAGAACTATTATCACCACATTTATTTTTCCTGTACATTTTCAAGTAAAGAAAAAAATATCTAGATTTATCACTAGTTGCTATAAAAAGGTGCTAGAAGGGTCTGAAAACTGGCTAAATTTAGTAAGAAAGTGGCTTGACAAATACCAACCACCTACTCATTTGAGTCCTGTGTTAATGGTGCATTCATGGACCCAAAAAATGGTTGGATTTCTCAGGACTTACCGAATAAAAAACTCTCTCTGGTTTTAGCCAATCAAGGTGATTATGGTTTCAGGACGATTGCTCTGTGCATCCCTGATTAAAATGGATGAATAGAAGATCAATGAATGGGTTCATGATGGATATATGATGGAATGATGGTTAGGTGATCAGGGTTTTTCCTAATTTATCATTAGGCTGGTGGGCCTCCAGGCTTTACATGCCTCCCCGCCAGACTAACGTTCATTTACTTGGAATGGACGTCACTCATGGAGYTTGTGCTAAAAATAGCACTTGTCATCGTGCTGTGAAGCTAAAATCTATTGTAATGTTTCTCAGTGTGCAAAAACGAGTAATAGAAAAACACAGACCTCCTCCACTCCATCTCTCTGTCCCAGCACTGCTCTCTTACACACACACAATTTTAACAAAAACACTGAGTTTCCGGTGGGCTGCCGAAGTGGCCCTACCACCAGGCTTAGCAAGATTTTTGAGGGAAACCCTGGGTGATTATTGATGTAGGTAGGTAGGTAGGTAGGTAGGTAGGTAGGTAGGTAGGTAGATAGATAGATAGATAGATACAGTTGTGGTCAAAAGTTTACATACACTTGTAAAAAAACATAATGTTATGGCTGTCTTGAGTTTTCAATAAGTTCTACAACTCTTATTTTTCTGTGATAGAGTGATCGGAACACATACATGTTTGTCACAAAAAAMAGTCATAAAATTTGATTCTTTCATAAATTTATTATGGGTCTGCTGAAAATGTCACCAAATCTGCTGGGTCAAAAATATACATACAGCAACA